ATAAACTGAGTACACCTCTTGTGCTTTAGTGATGGGTATAAAAAGGAAATTCCCTTAGCAAATATCAACATACTTTTTAGTAAAGATTACAAATCTAAAATGCTAAAGCCGACATGTTTTCATACATATATACATATTGAAATAATAAAACGTTTGTATCGAACACTTTGCCATTATAACGCTCAATATATTTATTTATGGTAACAATCATTTTCAATTTCCACTTATCTTTAATGCATTTGCGATAAAAAAAAAAAAAAAGCTTCAACATTCAACTCAAAAACTCTTTTAATTTATAAATGAAGGAAAAGTAAAGAGATAGAGAACATGTACAGCTTCATGGTATAATGGTTAGTTATAGAGGATTTAACATATACGCTGAACATACCTCAGTTAAACCGCAACATTTAGTTTAGTTTCGCTAATGAATTCAAGAAACTTTTGAACTCTCCTAAATGAGTGGTTTGTGTTACGATGTTATAATGTGAAAGCTATTATCGGGAAAGCTAATATTCGTACATTTTAATAATTTTATATAAAAAAAAAAAAAAGAATTGATTTTTTTAACCGAAAATCATTACTTTCTCTCATTTTTCCGATAATATTGTAAAAGCATTTACTTATGCAAATAAATTAATAATTAATTATGTAACTCCGTCTGCGTTTGTAAAGCTTACAATTTCTAACTGAAGGGTAACAGCAAGGAAAAAATTCATATAGTTTAAGTAAAATAATCGCTTGAGAATAGGGGCATAATTATTTGTTCATTGACTATGCAACATTGAATGGGCATCGCTTCGTTCGTCTGTCCATGCATTGCCGACCGTAAGTTGGGAGTAAGCAAGGGGAAAACAGCGAGCCTAAAAGCTATTTCAGTCGTTTAGTCATTAATAAGCAGGTCGCATCCGGGCTTTTTGTCTGCCATATGAAATGCAATGGAGGAAAGCCTTCTTTTTCTTTAAAGACAGCTTAATTAAACATACGTTGCCATTGTATGTGATTGCTATATATGAAAGTAAACAAGTGAAGATACTGTGGCGGGACGCAGCCCTCTATTAAATACCCTACAATCGTTCGTTTAATACAGTTATTTATGCAATGACTTTTCGAAATAAGGCTTTATATGGGGAGTAGTCGAACAAGTGGTCTGATCCGATAGCGTTCGTCCATGTACAAAATTTCGTCGCAATATCTCAAATATCTTACGACCTTTAGATTGAACATAACAATACAAGACAAGTAGATGTACGGACCGATAGACAAGCTAAGATCGTTCCAAAACGGGACTCTGACTCAATCGGAGTATATTTCAAGTCTTGCCTAATATTGTATACATTCGCATGAACGGGCTTGGGTTTTTAAAAACATCAAATAAAGTCTGTTCGTTTTCTATTAAACTCAGCTTAATTGAAAAGAAATTCGTTACAAACCTTAATAAACGAGATATTCACCATTATTATGTTTGGTCGTATGCCTCCGCTCGGGTAATTTGTGAATCAACTGCCAGTGGAACTTTGATGGCTTCGCGACGAAATAGTCATCGATCTTTAACTTTGTAAATCTGTTGTTGATCTTCTATATAGAACTGAATCGATCATAACCAGAACTATCCACAAGAAAGCGTGTTTGAAGCATATCCAAAAATAGGGAGAGAAACTTCCAATCTAAGTTGAAGATCACCTCCTGCGTTGCTTATGTTGGAGACGGACGGACATATAGGAATTTCATCATTTTGAAAATAAGAAGAAATATCGCAAACCACTTTCTAACTGTGTCTTAGTTTGCGGGATTTTCGCTCCAAGCCAACTTGATCCTATCCGTAACTTCAGTTGCATTTTTCTCCAGTATCCTTATATCATCCTACAGTTATGGGAAGTGGTCCAATCCGAAGCAATGATGCGTGGGCCAAAACACGTCAGTGTAACAAACATTATATGAGTATTTCAAGAATTGCGGTCTGTAGATTAAGCACAAAAAAACAAGACGGACAAACGGACAGACAAGCTTAGATCAATATAATAGAAGAAAGTGATTTTGAATCGATTGACCTTGGATCTGAATTCCGAATCTTACATACAATCTTAATATTCCCTTGTACCACAATCGGTTTAGGGTATAAAAATAGAAGACTAAACGGGATACGCTGATTATATACAGAAAACTGGCATAACTTCGCAGAGAACTATAAATATTTAAAATGTTTGCTTAATAGCTTGGAAACCTTAGAATCCTTGAATCATTTCAACTTCTATAGAAATTTCGCTTTGATAATCAGGGCAGCTTGACTCCTTACATTCAGCTATAAAGTCTCTTTGACACATAAACGGTAGCAGGAGAAACGACCTAAACTATATATCATTTCACCCTTACTTTATGCATATTTTCTATACGCGTTTGTTTGTTTTAATATGTAAAACAAACTTTATGAGTAGCATTCAGGAAAATTTACGATTGCGTTTTATGTCGGTAATGTTAAGTGGATAAATAAAGGCTTCCTTATTATTATTTTATCATCTAATTAAAAGAAAAAATTTCCGTTTATAACCATAAGCGTCTAAATTAATTAAATAAATAAAATGCAAAATGAAAAAAATACAAAATTAATGACTTCTTGATTTAAGGCGACATCTAAGGATTGTTTGCAATAGATTTTCAGTGAATATTAAAGAAATGCAAGTTTTAAGATACGTTTCGTAAGAAACCTTAAAAAATATTCCGTAATCATCCGCTTGAACTTATCCATCTTAGGTGCCGAGATAGAAATATATTGATAGAAGACAGTCCATTCTGACCGACATAAAACTGATTTTATCCATAAATATGTTCATAGATTCTCTTTGAATTACCTTAAATATTAGGCGTTAGGTCGCTGCGATGAAAATACGATCATATTGCTACGAGTTATGCTATTTCTGAACGTTAAGTTGTTCATTTCTAGTATTTTCTAACGTGTAGTAAGTGAAAGGAAATCGTATTATAACATTTAACGGATAGTAGGATTCTTTATTCATACGAACAAATATAATCATCAAAGGTAAAAATGCCTGGGATAGCCGCAGAGCCACATTGTGATATAACTCTATTGCTGGATTTCCAGTATCGTTTTACGGGATACTAAGCCTAATGTTGTTGTCCTTTTTTGTGGGCAATCTGTATCGCAAACTGGAAATTCTGTTGTATTTAATATTGCTCTTTGTTTTACTATCACTAACAATCACGTTAGTGTTGCTATTATTTTTGCTATTACCACTGCGTATTTTCTTACTATCACAATAACTATCGCCGTCTCGGCTACAGTTACTGTTATTAGGATTTTTACAAATCTTGGAAAGCTAATTATGTTGAGTCCTGCAGACATGATTGCATAATAAATTTTGCATAAATAGGTAAATAGTACATTTGAAAATGGCGGAAAAATACAAGCCTTAAGATGATTACTACTGCTATGCTTACTATAATTCTTATTAGTATTGCTATGAGTGCCATTTCTACAGTTCCTGTTACCATTATTATTACTAAAGTAAGTTTATTTATTGATATCTACGCCTATTTTCTATTACCACAACTTACCTACTATTACTACTGCGTTTGCTATAATTTCTATTATTATTATAGGAGTATTTCTGCAGATACTGTTAATGTTGCTGCTATTTATTATTATTACAACGTACCTATCATTATTTACTACTGTATTATATTGCTATTCCTTCTCCCTGGTCTTTAGCTGATGGTATCACAACTTGTCCTAATATTAGGATTGCTACTATTATCATTAACTATATAACTACTTCTATTATTACTATTAGTGATAAGGACAACGGTATAGTAATTTCTCTTGTAATATAACACCTTTAATTCCCTTATTATTATCACTATTATTTTTACCATTACTACTACCATTTCCACCAATGCTACTATCGTTTCTACCATTGCTACTACCATATCTATCATTACTATAGCTGGCAAAATTTATACAACTCTTGTTATTCCGTCATTGTGTTCATTTTGTGTTCGCACTGTGACTTTTTTCATAACACGGTGATCCATTTGTTGTAGGATTTACCGAATATTCAAGAAGAAAAAGAAGGAGATTTTATTCCATCTTATTCACATATTATTACGACAACTATTATTACTATGACTATTTCTGCTTCTATTATGACCTGTGCTATCACGCAAAATGCTACTGAAACGAACGCAGGGTCTCCCTTATTTAACTATTTCTACTACTATTAATATTAGTGCTTGTACTTTTACTATTACTACTGCTATTAGTATTTTTAAGGTCATCATTATTCACATAACTGTTGCTATTACTATTAGAACTGGAACTATTATCACTTATTTACTTCTTATTACGACTGCTATTACTATTACTATTTCGACTATTGATGCTATTAAGGAGAGGACTCTTGCCAATACGAGGACACCTTTATTACGCTATTTCTGCCACTGTTAGTATTTTTGGTTATACTTTTACCGTTTCTGCTACTATTAATATAACTAGAGAATTAGTAGAAGTATACCAACGTATTTACTTCTTATTACGACTGCTATTACTATTACTATTTCCACTATTGATGTTATTAAGAAAAATGATCTCCTCTATATTGCACTTTTCCTGTTACTGTTAGTTTTACGAACATTATTTCTTATATTTATACCGTTACTGCTACTATTAGACTGTCATTATTCATACAACTGTTACTCTACTGCAGTATTAGAACTTATTTCCTTAGTGTTACGATTGCTATTATTGTTGCTATTTCTACTGCTGATGCTATTAGGAGGAATTCTACCACTATCAAGAGAGCTTTCCTTCATTACCGCTCCTGCTACTACTACTGGTACTATTATTACCCTCCAAGGTGACGGTAAGTGTTAATCCGAAAGTAATATGTTAATGCAATTTTGCAAAGTTAAAATTGTTTTATACTTAATGCTCTTACTTTCCGAATTCTAGTACTTTACTATATTGACGTAATTTTTTTTTTGCTTACCTCCAACATAAATATCCACCTGAGTCCAATTAAGTTTATTAGCAATACTTTTAACAGCAAACGAAATTGCTTCGTATGACGGTAGAAAGCTGCCAGACTCCTGTAAGTGAAAGCAAAGTAAAGAAAACTTGAGAAGATATCAACAAAGCACATGAGATACATGAACGAATGCATGTGAAATTCTCTATATATTTGGAGATAATTCACAAAGTTCTACTGCAGTTACATAAAGAGTATTGTAATGCAATTAATAATTAGTACAAAAAGCCTCTGAAGGCAATTAGTCCTTAAAATCTATTAATTGATATATATTATGCATACAAATGACAATTAAAGATGTATGCCTGTATACGTATATATCTAAGGCATTAATCTCTATAGTACATTACGTATGTATATATCTATAGAATTAATCTCTATAGTAAATTGATCAAAGAGTGTTTAGTAAGCAAACTCCTCTATCTAACTATCTACCTTAGTATTATGTGGTCAGCAATTAATTTCCCTCAATTACGATGTTAATCATGAAGTAACAATGAAATTACATCAGTGATGTGCTTTAAATGCAATATTATCCTTCAAGATGACTAAAAGTTATAATAAATTTTTAAAGTTTACTTTGCTACAGACACATACATATATGCTCTTTTAGAAATTTGTTTTTTTTTTTTTTTTTTTCTTAAAAAGTGTTGAGAGATTCAAAGTTATTGGTAGCTAGTTGTGGTAGCAGGTAATATTTATAGAATTTATTGAAAGTTTGTTGTAAATGATGTACTAACGATAATGCGTTTATTGATTACTATTTAAACTGGAGCCATCCATATGGCGTGATATATTTTTATAGACAAGTGAAGATTCATGTCAAGACAGACAATATGTGTAAACTTTGATTTAAAATTAATAAGGTGAAGCGGCTAACATTTCATACTATTAGGATTTTGTTTGTGAGAGAACACAAAAAATTGCAATGAACGGGAAAAAATAATATAAGTAAAAGTTGAAGATTATATAGAATTATAGCTCAAATATTCATCTAACTTGAACGTCTAAGTGAGTTTGCAAAGATTTTACGTTTATGATACTTCGAATATTTATTCGGTCAATTTTTCTTTCGAAAGAACTTCATTTTTCACTCCTACCATGGACGGATGGTGTCACAACGTATGCAATATTTAGAGGGAAGCGTCAAAAGGCCCGCTTTATGATCAACATCAACTATAGAATCGATTTAAGCACATCCGTCTGTCCGTCTGTGTTTCTGCGTGAGTAACATCTATGGCAAATTTTCTCCTTAACGCAAATATGAAAACATTGTCTTCATATTTAATCGAAGCATTGGAACTTCCTGCATCCAGACTAGTATTGAAAATAGACCAAATCGGTCGAAAGATGCACCCAATGGTAGAGTATCTATAGAAGAGTGAGCAACAACAACGGCGCCCTCCCAAAAGTGAAGTCTCTTGATGTTTAATTCTTTTTTCAAAACGTCTGCGACACGCGAAAGTAAAGGTCAGGAAGTAAGGTATAAAGTATACGTGTCTTTCATCAGTATCAACTACTGAGCTTACCTAGTCATGTCTACGGTTTCCTTTACGCTTTAGCACTAAGTTTATCTAGGCATGCCCATGCTTTCCTTCATCAATCTCCTCGTGGATCGTTACATTTAAGATGCTGTTTGACAGAGGGTACAAGTTCGTCAAAAACATTGGTAGTCAAAGTCCCAATGCCCTGCAGTGCCACAAAAACTGAAAGCGCCTCTGTTTTCGAAAGTAAAAAAATTGGATCTTTTCCTTCTTATTCGTATCCTAAAGTGGAAATAACAAT